CATTAAAAAAATATATATATATATATTATTAAGATAAAATTAGATACAGAGTTTCTTTATTTTGTAATATATAATTTTTGTTAACCTGATACAGGCTTATAATTATAACTATCAAATTCTTTTTTCTTGTTATTCTCCTAACCTCCTTTTAAAGATAGAGGGTACTATTGTAAATTATATGTAAAATCAGTATTTTGTTTTATTTTTTTAAATTAAACAAAACTTTATTAAGAAAATTATTTTTATATTTCTAAATAAAATTGTAATATAGGTTTTTTTGATTCTAATAATAACAAAATTATTAAATTAAGATTAAATTCAGTGAGATATAATTATTTTAAAGTTTAGATAATATTAATTTTTTATAAAGATCATATGATATCAGCCAATCAGAATTGGATATTTTGTATTATCTAAAAAATTTTGAAATGTTTTAAAAAACTTTACAATATATACAAATATATTTTTTTAAATTAATATTATTTCTAAAAGTTTGACTATTTATAAATAAAGATTTGTATCTATAAGTTACGAAATTTTGTTAGTGATACATTTTTATTATCTATATAAAGTTCTGATCTACTATGCATGTCATATAAAAATGATTAATATTACTTTCTACCCTTAATATTAGTATTAGTATTAGTATTTTTTTTTTCACTTTCCTATGAAAAGATATCATCAAATTAGTGATATTCTATTGTAGGGTGGAAATCTGATATGGCCTTTTAGGATAGATAATCTTCAGATTTTCTATAGATTTATTGTTATATGTCTTTTGTGGATATTTTTGTCTAGTGTAGCAGGTTGCTTGTAAATGCTTATAAAAGTAATTGCAAGATGTCAGGCCTAAATATTAAGCTTAACATTTTGTATAGCCTGTGACAAAATACAGTAATTTTAATAAAGAATTACTAGCAAGACTGCCTAAGTTGAAAAAAAAGTTATTAAAATACAAAAAAATTTAGCAATAATTAGTAGTGTATTTTATCAGTAATCATTCTTGTATAATACTATAAAATCAAACTATATAATTTTTTAAAATAATTTAGATTTTTTTATTGTTAAAGTTAGTATAAGGCAAGGATATTATTTATAGTAAAATTTTATAAGAATTTTTTTTTATTAAGACCAAAAAGATAATTTCATAAGCAAAATTTTAAGTATTAACTACATGTTACACCTGATCTTTGATTCTGATTGGACTAATGAAATTCACTACTAATAACATTTTACAAGTATATTGATCCGTGATTAATTTAATTGGCCGAACTTGCTTAGATCATCAATGAACATTACGTACTCAATAAGTAAAGTCGTACTATTGTCACTAGTTTTTGTATAAGAAAAATTTTGATACATTGTTTTTTTGTACAAACGCAAATACTGCAAAAGAATAGTTTAACTTTATTTGTAACAATTTAATTATTTTTAGAAATCTCGATAAAAGACGTAACTTATACGATCATGTTGGAACACAGAATAAAAGAATTTAAAGTTAGGAATATTCTACAATTGCAGCACTTGATAAGAGCATGAGTAATACCTAAACGAAAATCCGTACTTATGCATTATGAGATTTAATTTAATAGCATTTAGTATTAAATAGCATTATGCAGTATACGTATCAGGAATTAAATCCCATTAAGTGAACATTAGGCGAAAGTCATGCATAATAACGTTAGTTCCCATACGGTACTTATACAAGTAAAACTTTGTGAAACGTTCTATATCATATCGATACGTATTATATCGATATATATAATTATATTTTTCTCTTAAGAAAAAAAATGTGTTACTATTTGAGACAAATTTAACACACTACGTAAAATAAATCTAATGTCACATTATCTTGCATTGCTTGAGCTAAATAAAGTCGCGTTGCAATTTCGTTTTTCGATAGCGAGGCGTCACGCGAGCAATGAACTCCATTATCTCCTATGTCGTTATAGCAGACTGTTTTTATGTTGCACGTGCATTTTCACAAATTGATTGGTTAATTATTTGCTATCGCTATTACATACCAAAATTATTTAAAAGAAATCTAAGAAATCTGTAATGGAAAATAAATGTTTTTTTTTTTAGTTATTTATCATCATTTTGGAATTTGTTTATCCGGCCTTGTTAGGGTAAACAATCATACGTAATAATTCTCTGTAACATCTAGAATTTATAGCTCAAGTTATTATTTAACCTTTAATGGCTTTGGATCTAACTATTCTTTTTATGGTCTTACCTGTTAATCAATCTATTTTTAGAGAACTTACGTACTTTTAATGTTAACGTCCGCTTAAGAGTTCCAGAATTACATGCATCACGCATCTCGGTAGTTCCTTGTTAACACAATATTGCATGAAGACATACTGGCCATAAATAGTCGTAATAGTTTCACATAACTGTTCTTAGTAAAATTCTGTTTCTACGTACTAAATTTTTTTTACACTATACCGATACTGTTTCTACTACATTTTTTTACATTATATACAGATATACCAAGAATATAAGCTATTATCGTTACTATTAAGACATTAAAAGTATTTCTTTGTCCTCTTTCGCAATGCCTTGTACTCCTTTTGGTAAAAGTAAGCCATTGCAGCGTAAATTAGTTGTGTTAGGTGATGGTGCTTGCGGAAAGACTTCCCTTCTAAACGTATTTACGAAGGGTTATTTCCCACAGGTTCGTTATATATATATATATATATATAATTCTTTATTGAACTAAGAAAGTCGCTCTTTAAAGAAATAACAACTCTATTTATTACAATTTCTATAGGTCTACGAACCAACAGTATTTGAAAATTACGTACACGATATATGGATTGACAACCAACAAATTGAATTATCACTATGGGACACAGCAGGTAAATGTGTTAAAAATTATTAAAACATATTAACATATTGTCTTAAGTCTTTACAAATTACTTAAAACAGGGCAAGAAGAATTCGATCGTCTTCGTTCGCTATCATATGCAGACACACATGTGATAATGTTATGTTTTGCAGTAGACAACAGAGACTCTCTAGATAATATAGAATCAAAATGGATGGAGGAAATACTTGAACATTGTCAGGGCGTCAAGATTGTCTTAGTCGCCCTTAAATGTGATTTAAGGGAAGATCTTCAAGTTGTCAGAGACATGCAACGTTATGGTGAAAGACCTGTAACATATGAGGAGGTAATTCATAAAAAAAAACTGAAAAGCATGAAATAAACGTGTTTGAACTCAATGAAATCAATTCTGAATAGGGGTTGGCAGTAGCTCGCAATATTGAAGCATCTAGATATCTAGAATGTTCAGCAATGCACAATCGAGGTATGCTCCTACACCTTTTATTTAATATAAATAAGTCTTATTAATTAGTACCTACATTATTTAATTGTTGTTCAGGTGTACGAAAAGCATTTGCACCTGGTGATTCCAACAATATAAGATGTGTAATTTTGTAAAGATATCGGTTTCTTGCAAAAATTAAAGTTTTTGTATTTTAGTCTATACTGGAATTTCTGTGTCATCGAGCAAATATAAATTCGCTCAGCACCTTATTTTATTTTCATTCCTTCTATAACGGTCAATTTGATTTGTCATTTTTTTCTTAGGTTTTTTTCTGAAAATGTTTTTTTTTCAACGGCAATTCCCTTCGTACCGTATTGTATCACAGCCCACTTACAAGGATGTATTTACAATTTGATTGGTTTATTATTTAAAAAAAGATGTAATTGATGGTATTAGTTTGATGGTATTAGTTTAGGTTGAGATACAAAAGGGATGTAGCACCAAATCCGACAAAGTTACAGGTTACCGCAGCAGCTGGGACTTGTCGAAAGATTAATTCTCAGAATGGCACAATTTCATTATTTTAATGACAAAACACTGCAGCATTAAAGATTTACATCATACCAATTAATAATTAATTAGCAATAAAATTAAAAGTAAAAAATTTTTTTTTAAATTTTTTTTTTTATTTTTTATTTTTTTACTAGCGTGATAAATATGTTGTGATGGTTGTTTATATTTTAAAAATTTAATGCAGGTGTTGAATATTAAAAATGTAAATATTCTCAGAAAAATGAGGACTAATCTGGGGCGTTGGCCTAATGGATAAGGCATCAGACTTCGGATCTGGGGATTGTGGGTTCGAGTCCCATGCGCCTCGTAAATAATTTATTATTATTATTTTTTTTTCGACAATTCGCCAGTGCGATGTATCGCTACCCCCTGATTAACCAATCATTTGGTTTGTTTTGATTTCCTGTTAATCAAAACAAATAGCGACTGGTTAGAGTTAGGTTAGGGTTTGATCAGGATAATAGCTAAAGAATTTTTCCTAACCCAAAATTTCACAAAGAATTTTTTTTGTTAGGATAAAAAGGGCAGTTTCATAGCCAAAATTTCAAGTT